ACTTTACTTATTTAATACTCTCGACACTTTGGTAAAAAATCTAAAATTCGAAAAAATTCGAAAAAATTCAAAAATCCGAATTTCTTAAAATTAAACATTTTTTCCTCTCTTTTATGGGATTTAGCTTCATTATTTTTGAGCTTTTGGAAAATACTTTACTTATTAAATTGTCTCGAATCTTTGGTAAAAAATCCAAAATTATCAAAAATTCGAAAAATTTCAAAAATACGTTTTTCTTAAAATTCAACATTTTTTCTTCTCTTTTATGGGATTTAGCTTCATTATTTTTGTGCTTTTGGAAAATACTTTACTTATTAAATTGTCTCGAATCTTTGGTAAAAAATCTAAAATTATCAAAAATTCGAAAAATTTCAAAAATACGTTTTTCTTAAAATTCAACATTTTTTCTTCTCTTTTATGGGATTTAGCTTCATTATTTTTGTGCTTTTGGAAAATACTATACTTATTTAATACTCTCGACTCTTTGGTCAAAAATCTAAAATTATCAAAAATTCGAAAAAATTCAAAAATCCGTTTTTCTTAAAATTCAACATTTTTTCCTCTCCTTAATGGGATTTAGCTTTATTATTTTTGTGCTTTTGGAAAATACTTTACTTATTTAATACTCCCGACTCTTTGGTAAAAAATCTAAAATTATCAAAAATTCGAAAAAATTCAAAAATCCGTTTTTCTTAAAATTCAACATTTTTTCCTCTCTTTTATAGAATTTAGCTTTATTATTTTTGTGCTTTTGGAAAATACTTTACTTATTAAATTGTCTCGACTCTTTGGTAAAAAATCTAAAATTAATGAAAATTATCAAAAATTCAAAAATCTGAATTTCTTAAAATTCAACATTTTTTTCTCTCTTTTATAGGATTTAGCTTCATTATTTTTGTGCTTTTGGAAAATACTTTACTTATTAAATTGTCTCGACTCTTTAGTAAAAAATCTAAAATTATCGAAAATTATCAAAAATTCAAAAATCCGAATTTCTTAAAATTCAACATTTTTTTCTCTTTTTTATAGGATTTAGCTTCATTATTTTTGTGCTTTTGGAAAATACTTCACTTATTAAATTGTCTCGACTCTTTGGTAAAAAATCAAAAATTCGAAAAATTTCAAAAATCCGTTTTTCTTAAAATTTAACATTTTTTCCTCTCCTTAATGGGATTTAGCTTAATTATTTTTGTGCTTTTGGAAAATACTTTACTTATTTAATAGTCTCGACTCTTTGGTAAAAAATCTAAAATTATCGAAAATTATCAAAAATTCAAAAATCCGAATTAAATAAAATTCAACATTTTTTCCTCTCTTTTATAGAATTTAGCTTTATTATTTTTGTGCTTTTGGAAAATACTTTACTTATTAAATTGTCTCGACTCTTTGGTAAAAAATCTAAAATTATCGAAAATTATCAAAAATTCAAAAATCTGAATTTCTTAAAATTCAACATTTTTTTCTCTCTTTTATAGGATTTTGCTTCATTATTTTTGTGCTTCTGGAAAATACTTTACTTATTATTAAATTGTCTCGACTCTTTAGTAAAAAATCTAAAATTATCAAAAATTCAAGAAATTTCAAAAATACGTTTTTCTTAAAATTCAAAATTATTCCTCTCCTTAATGGGATTTAGCTTCATTATTTTTGTGCTTTTGGAAAATACTTTACTTTTTTAATAGTTCGACTCTTTAGTAAAAAATCTAAAATTATCAAAAATTCGAAAAAATTCAAAAATCTGATTTTTTTAAAATTCAACATTTTTTCCTCTCCTTAATGGGATTTAGCTTCATTATTTTTGTGCTTTTGGAAAATACTTTACTTATTTAATAGTCTCGACTCTTTGGTAAAAAATCTAAAATTATCGAAAATTATCAAAAATTCAAAAATCCGAATTTCTTAAAATTCAACATTTTTTCCTCTCTTTTATAGAATTTAGCTTTATTATTTTTGTGCTTTTGAAAAATACTTTACTTATTTAATAGTTTCGACTCTTTGGTAAATAATCTAAAATTATCAAAAATTCGAAAAAATTCAAAAATCCGATTTTCTTAAAATTCAACATTTTTTCCTCTCTTTTATAGGATTTAGCTTCATTATTTTTGTGCTTTTGGAAAATACTTTACTTATTATTAAATTGTCTCGACTCTTTGGAAAAAAATAAAAAATTATCAAAAATCCGAAAAATTGAATTTCTTAAAAAAATTTAACATTTTTTTTCTCTTTTATACCATTTAGCTTTATTATTATTTGAATTTTTATTCAAGAGAAAAAATGGAAAACTGAAAAACTTTAGAATTTTTTAAAAATTACAGGCCTTTTCCATGATTTCCCTGATTTCCAGAAGCCTTTTAAAAATTCCATACCATTTTCATGATTTCCATGATTTCCAGATTCTGTAGGAACCCTGCTTTTGTCTGACTTTCTTCTAAATTATCGAATTCAGTGATTTCTGGGGTGAATTTGGTTAAGTTGTAAAATGATTAATTTCTATTTGAATTCGTTTTTTTTTAATGTAGAAAATCTGATGTTAATTTAATTCTTTTTTCGTTATGCACGGCAAAAAATATTTAGCTGGATGAACTACAGATTTCACTTTAGTAGCAAAATTATTCAGTGCTTCAATTAATACTTTCGTTATTCTAGAGAAACTTATCGCTATTTCAAGTAAAACTTTTTTCATTGTGTAATAATTATTATTTCTTTAAAAAGTATTTAATTTAAAATGGCTTTATAAAATAAGCAATGCAAAAGATGACCCAGATACTAATTGTAATTGTTCTAGCCATAGTTTAAGTCTATAGTAATGTAAATTCTATTTAAATTGAGACCATTTAGTGAAATTATTTGAATTTTAGTTAGTTAAATCTCTTTGTTAGGTTATAATAATTATTTCTTTAAAATTTTTTAAATTGTTTAAAATAAGCAGCCCTATACAACATTCCCGCGCGCTTGCGCGCGGATAGTTTGGCTAGTTTATGAAAATAATTAAATGTTTGCGTAGAATTTTATTAAAAATTTTTTTAAACAATGGAATTCGTTTGTAAAATTTTATTAAAACACTTAGATACTAAAAATCATTAAATTGAGGAAAATTTTTGAAAATAATAGAAATTTTGCCAAGAATTTTATTAAAGTTTTATAAAATAATTGAATTTAGGAGAAGAATTTAATTATTTTTGAAAATAATTAAATAATTATAAAAAATATTGTCAAAATCATTAAATTGAGGAAAATTTTTGAAAATAATTGAAATTTTGCCAAGAATTTTATTAGTTTTATTAAATAATTGAATTTAGGAGAAGAATTTAATTATTTTTGATTATATGAAAATAATTCAATTGTTGCAAAGAATTTTATTAAAATTTCTAAAAATGATTGAATTATTTCAAAGAATTTCATCAAAATATTTTTAAATAATTCAATTCTTTCAAAAAATTTAATTAAAAACTTATTTATAATAATTAACATCTAATAAACAAATTTTATCAAAATTTTTGAAAATAATTGAATTCTTTGAAGACATTTTATTAAAATTGTATTGAAAATAATTGAAATCCTGTGAAGTATTATATTATTTATAAAAGTAATAAAATATTAAAGAATAAAATTTGTAAAAAAAGAAATTGAAATTTTGCCAAAAATGTTATTAAAATTTTTGAAAATAATTGAATTTCGGAAAAGAATTTTATTATTTGTAAAGATAATTGAAATTTTTGAAAAAATTTCAAGATAATTGAATTTTTGCGATGAATTTTTTTATTTTGGAAAATATTTGAATTTCGGAGAACAATTTTATTATTTTTGAAGATAATTGAGGAACTGGATCGAAGAACCGGCTCTTCGCTCGGACCGCACGCGCTTATACCAGTCGGGTAGGAGTGAGTGGCCCAGAGGCGCTCACTGTCACCCGACTGATATTAGCGCGTGCGGTCCGATCGAAGAGCCGGTTCTTCGATCCAGCTCCTCAATTGGAATTTTTGACAAGAATAAAATTGTTAAAAAATTTTGAAGATATTTGAATTTTGTGCGATGAATTTTATTATTTTTGAAAATAATTGAACTTCTGCAATCATTTGTAACTTCTCAAAAATTCAATTGTTTTCAGTGTTTTTAGAATTAGGTATTGAAATTTTTCAAAAATCAAAGTTCTTTAAAATTTCTAATTAAATTAATTAAAGATTGGAATTTTATAAAAATTAAAATTAAAACCTTTTTAAGTTCATCTATTTATGGAAATTATAAACGGAACTCTTTTTAAATTTAATTAATTTTGAAATATTTAACTAAAATTATTCATTAAATAATTTATAAATAATTATTTTATGATAGTTCTTCAAGAATTAAGTTATTTAAAAAGAAATTATTGTCAGAAATAAAAAAAATTGAAGGTTTTTTATTATAATTTGCGGTAATTTCCTAATTTATGAGGCAAACAAAAAAGACACAAAAATTCAGAATTTTCTTATGAATTCTAAAAATTTAATTTTTTCCAGTACTTTTAATAAAAATCTCTTACTTTTCCTTGATTTTCCTAACCAATTCTACTTTCCCTGACTTTTCTCTAAATTTCCTGTCTTGTGGCAACTCTGTATTGTTCTTTTTTATTTATTCATTCATCGACGGAATAAAAAAATTCTATTAAATAAAATTTGATGAAATTAAAATTCTATCGAACGAATTCTAAGGCCTATTCATGCGCTGCGAAAAACGTAAAAAAATCGAATTGAGTTAAACTCAAGACTCGGATTTATTAAAAAAAATCGGAAAACTGCTCAAGTGAAAGAAGAAATAAATAAAAAAAAACAATAACTGTGAATTGACGGGCCATGAAGGACAATTATTTGACACCTCATGAATGAAATCCAGTGAATTAATGATCGTGTGTGTATATATCTTAGGCGCTTGAAAAAAAACATAAATGAATATATATGTGTATATAAATGTATAAAATTGGAACTTGGAATCTGAATATATTTCCCTAATCCTCTGACTTACAGGTATCTGGTGATGGGTGGTCTGGTGGATCGCGTGTCACGTCACAGTCGAGCATTGATCGAGACTGACTTCTTTCTGGATCAAGAGCGAGATTCGCCTCTTCTTTTGGCCTCCTATGACCTAATGTCTCGAATTTGTTGTCACTTGAAACGAGTTGGCAAGCAGGAGGAACTCATTCATTCTGGAGAGAATAATATCAACAGTTCCGAACAATCGGCCGCAGAAGCTCATCTTATAAGCTGCCTAGTTTCCACAGAAGCTGCTGGTGCTGTTGGCTCACTTTATGCAGCCATTGCTCTCACCTCACAAAATCAGAAAGGCTCATCTCCAACTCCGAATCAAATTGGTCCTTCATCTTCCACAAAAGCCCTCGCAACTCAAGGACTCAAACTCCTCAGATCGATCGCCGAATTGGACTTGGCAAAATTGCAGGTAAATTATATTTCTAAAAAAGAGCAAAAAAAATAATAAAAATATAAATATAATCATTCAATTATTTTCAATACAATTTCAATAAAATTTCTCAACAGAATTCAATTACATATTTTGAAAAATTTTCTTTAAATTCTTTTATGAGAATTAAAATATTTTCAATACAATTTTTTTTAAATTCTTCACAGAAATTCAATTAATTTCAAGATTTTCAACAAAATATTGATTCAAATAATTATAATTATTTAATTAATATTTAATAATTAGCAAATTATAAGCGTGCCAGCGCGCAGATCGCGATGTTCCAATTATTATTATAATTATTATATTATTGACGTAAGAATTTCATTATTCTCATGAATAATAAAATTCTTTAGAGCAATTCAATTATTTTCAATACAATTTTAATAAAATTTCTCGAAAAAATACAATTATTTTTAAAAAATATTAATTAAATTCGATTATTTTCAAGAATTTTAATAAAAATTCAATTATTTTCAACAATTTTGAATAAAATTCTTTTTAAAAAAATCATTATTTTCAAAATTTTTAATAAAATTTCTTCAAATTCAATTATTTTTAAAAATTCAGATAAAATTCTTCGAAACAATTAAATATTTTTTATGATTTGTAAAATCTTCTGCAAGAATTCAATTATTTTCGCATAAATAAAAAAATTCTTCGCAAGAATGAAAATATTTTCATAAATAATAAAAAATCTTCAAAGGAATTCAAATTATTTTCATAAATAATAAAATGTTTCGGAGGAATTTCATTGTTTTCCATACAAACTTAATAATATTTTCCGAAAGAATACAATTATTATTGAAAATATTATTTAAATAATTAAATTCCACTATTTTCAAGAGTTTTAACAAAAATTCAATTATTTTCAACAATTCTGATAAAAAATTCTTCGAAACAATTCAATTATTTTTATAAATTGTAAAGTTCTTGGTAGGAAATAAATTATTTTTGTAAATAATAAAATTCTTCTGAGAAATTCAATTATTGTCAAGATAATTTTAATAAAATTTTTCCAACAGGTTCAATTATTTTTATAAATTGTAATAAAATTTTTCTAAACAATTTAATTGTTCTCAAAAGTTTTTAATATAAATCTTTGTAAATTTCAATTATTTTCAAAATTTTCAATTAAAATTATTCTAAAAAAACTTCATTGTTTTCAAGAAAATTGATGTAAATTTTTCAAAACAATTCAATTATATTGAGGAATTTTAATGAAAATCTTGCCAATAATTAAATTATTTTCAATACCATTTTAATTACATTTTCTCGAATGAATTCAATTATTGAAAAGAATGTTGATAAAATTCTTGAAATTAATTCAATTATTTTCAAACTTTTTTATAAATAATTTACAAGAATTCAATGTTTTTCAGTACATTGACAATTTAATTATTTCTGAAAATAATTGAATTTTTGAATTAAAATTGTATTTAAAATAATTGAGTTCCTATGAAAAATTTAACATTTTATTAATATTATTGAATTCTTTCGAAGAATTTAAAAAAATTGTTTAAAAATAATTTAATTTTCCCTGGAATTGAATTAAAATTCTATTTAAAATAATTGAATTCCAGCAAAAATTTAATTATTTATGAAAATAATTGAATTCTTGAATTGAATTTTATTAAAAGTTTTTTAAATGATTAAATTCCTGTGAAAAATTCAATTATTTTTTTAAATAATTGAATTTTCTCGGAGAATTTTTACAAGATTTTTAAAAATAATTGAAATTTTCGAAGAAATTAATTATAATTGTATTGAAAATAAGTGAAATCCTGTGAAAAATTTACTAATTTATTGATATTATTGAATTCTTTCGAAGAATTTTAAAAAATTGTTTAAAAATAATTAAATTTTCCCTGGAATTCAATTAAAATTCTATTTGAAATAAATGAATTCCAGCGAAAATTTAATTATTTATGAAAATAATTGAATTCTTGAATTGAATTTTATTAAAAGTTTTTTAAATAATTGAACTCTTGTGAAAAATTTAATTATTTTTTAAAATAATTGAATTTTCTCGGAGAATTTTTACAAGATTTTTTTTTTAAATAATTGAAATTTTTGGAGAAATTGATTAAAATTGTATTAAAAATAAATGAAATCCTCTGATAAGAATTTTTTTATTTTATATCAAAATAATTAAAACTTTTTACGATGATTTTTATTTTTTGTTATAAATTGACTAAAGAATTTTATTACAATTATTGAATTCTTCATAAAATTCAATTATTTTCAAATTTTTTTATAAATACTTTACAAGAATTCAATGATTTCAATTAATTTTAAAATTGAAAACAGTTCAAAAAGAACAATTTTTCAAAAAGTTAGGAAACAAAAAAGCAAACAGCAACTAACTTTAAACTGCAAACAGTAGATTACCGGAATACAACGATTTTTAATATAGATTATTTAATATTAATTATTATTTCCAAAAAGTGTTCACAATTTCTAAAATTTATTTTTAAACATTTTTTTTCTAAGCATTTATTTTGTAACTCTGTTTTATTTCAACTATTGTCTATATAATAGAGGTTTTTCAATAATTTTAGTTGAAACAATTTAAAGACAATGCAAATAGGTGGAATCGAAAATCGCAGACAATTTACTGCGTTTATTGTGAGACAGACATTAATGGAGGAGGCCAACTCGCTGAAATAACGTAATCAAGCAATTACGAACTCAGCCGGCGTTTGCCGTCCTATCGGCAAAAGCTTTTACACGTCAACCCTTCCGGACATGTCTTACTCGTTTACTTTCCTTGAGGATTGACACGCCCTCGTGGGTAGTTTCCATTGGCAAGCCAGACCTCCTCCTCGCCCACCCTCCCCCTCTTTTTTTTTATAAATACAATAAAGAATATAAGTCCAGTCAAAAAGAAAAAGAAAAAAAAGTTACGTAAAATTAAAATCACGATTAATCAATTTCAATTTGCATTTCTCGATTTGAATTTCATATGAGATTTTCATACAAAATGTTCTTGAAATTGGAAAATTTTAATTTATTGATAGGCGTTTGAATACATTATTTATTCATTTTAATTTTCATACTATTTTATTTTGTTTTAGTATTTATTATTAAAACAGGCTTCGCACTTGGATACTGCTATTTACCACTTTACTTAAATTTACCACTTTTTTTACGATTTGCTGCTATTTGTAAACTTTTTTTTTATTTATGGCACTAAAATATACTTTTTCTGTTTTTCTTTTAGAATTTGTATCCGCTAATAGTTAAAATAAAAAAATTAATTTTTATGTTCTTCGGAACAATCGGAAATTCAGAAATTACCAATTCACCTTGTTTCATCAATATACAACAATTTTGTTACTAAATTTAATTTTATTAATCGAAGTTCATTCAATCTCATCAAATTTTAATCAATTCAAATTTATCTCGATCCAAATTTTAAGCTATTAAAAGTTTTAAATATTTATAACAGTTGAAATTTTTAGAGAAAATAAATTATTTTATCATTTATTTATTTTCTTATATAAATAATTAAATTCACTTATTGAACTTTCTGATAAAAATTGATTTAAAAAAAAGAGAATTTCCGAAAAATTTTTAATTCAAAATTAAAACAAAATTTTTTTATTAACTAATTTACTGATTAATTATTATTGCTTATTATTTTCAAAAATATAAATAAAATTTTTTAAAAAATTCAATTACCTAATTTCAAAAATAATAAAATTCTTCACAAGAATTCAAGTTTTTTTTCAAAAATAATAAAATTCTTTAGAACAATTCAATTATTTTAAAAAATTTTTAGTTAAGTTAGAATTAGAATTAGAATTTCTTTATTTTGTCCCAGGAGAAGTTCTGAGTATGAATTCAATTATTTTCATAAATAATAAAATTCTTTTAAGGAATTCAATTATTTACATAAATAATAAAATTCTTAGAAGAAATTTAATTATTTAAAATTTTTTTTAATAAAATCTTCACAGAATTTCCGTTACATTCAAAAATATTAATTCAATTCTTTGCAGGAATTGAATTATTTCTAATACCATTTTAATAAAATTTCTCGACAGTCTTTAATATTATTTTCAAAATTTTTAATAATATTCTTTGCAGAAATTTAATTACTTCAAAAAATTACAATAAATTTCTTGGAAAGAATTCAATTTTCATTTTCAATAAAATTTAAAAAAATTAATTTCTTCCAAAGAATTAATGTATTTGGAAGAATATTAATTAAATTTTTGAAAAAATCTAATTATTTAATTATGTATTGAAGTCGTAAAAAGTTTCAAAATGTTTGAATTTTTGATGAATTGCAAAAATTTATTGTTCTAATTTGTTAAAAAATAATTAAATTTCAAAAGGTTTTAAATTTAAATTATTTGAGGTTTTAAGTTTTAAATATTTGATTTAAGAAAGTCTAAAGAAAAAATGTAATTGAAATTTTTTGAAGATTGTTAAATTCTTGAAAATAATGAAAAAAAAAATTGAAATAATCAAAAATTTTGCCAAATTTCATTGAAACGAATTTTATAATATTAAAGAATTTAATGTTTTATGTTTCAAAATTTGTTTTTATAAATCGTATACTTTTGAAGAATTCTAACCGAAAATTTGGAAAATAATTGAATGTTACAAAATTTTTCGATAGCTATTTTTTTACTACTTCTTTTCAGTCTTAAAATCTGCTTTTTGATATTTATTAAGTGATTAACAACACAATTTTTCAAAGGATATCAAATTGAGACAAAAAACGAATCAAAAGTATTGCGAAGCAACATTTTGATTCGTTTTTTGACTCAATTTGATATCCTTTGAAAAATTGTGCGAAATACGAAGCCTGTTGTTATTATTACAATTTTTCTTCTAAAAAAAAAACAAACAAAAATTATTTAATACATAAAATATAAAGATAAATATAATAGTAAATAAAAAATAAATAAATATCTAAACAAATAAAAAATTGAATTATTAAATTAGTCGTTAGTTAATTAATAAATTTGAATGTTTTAATGAGAACTGAAAATTTCGCTTTCGTCTTTTTTTGCTTAAAACAATTTAATGTTTTTTTAACGCTTAAAAAAAATATTTGAGAACTTATTTGAAATATTTCTTTTGAAGCCCTAACTTTCGGAAGAAAAATACTCATCGTTTTATTGAGTTAATAAAGTAAATGATGATTAAGTTTGTAAATATTCTGCGAGGATTATTCGATAATTTTGCGATTAGCCATGCGAAGCATAACGGATTTAATGGAGATATCAGTGAATATAATTGAAGACTGTGAGACACAGTGTTCAATTCGAAATTGGAACCACCCATAGCGAATATAAGTCACTCGTCAGTCAAGTATATGGCTATCAAACCACGAATTGAATTGAAATGCTGCCGCATCGTGTCGCGTCTGCTCGCGCCCTATGCGGAGCCCCAAAGAGCCATCATGGAGTCCCTTAGGGCGCGAATGTGGAGACTTCCCAGGAGAGATGACTCGATTATCCCTCTTTGCTTCATAGAGTGCCCCGTACTCACTTACACAGTCAGCAGGACGCATTTGCCGAAAAACCAACCCTGGTTATTATCTATTCTCTTTGCCTTCCCACGCAAAACGTCTCTTATGCCTCCATATATGTATTTGTGCATTTCATGTATTAATATGTCTTCTCGTTAACTAAAACAAATAATTTCAAGGTGAATACTCTTTTGTTTTCAAAAAATTAAAATTGATTATTGTTGATAGAAGGAAAATGAAAGCGAAGAAATTCGGGCAAAGACTGTTTAATAACGTTTTTACGAAATATTATTAAAGAAGCTTTGCCCTTGTCTTCGTATTTATTTTCTTTATTATTAAAATGTAAATGTAAACTTGGATTATGAAAATTCGAACTAGCGATTTTTATAGAAAAAAATGTTCAAAAATTATTAAAAAAACTATTATTAGGCAAATTTCAAATATTTTTACATTCAAATATCAACTTCAATTTTTGAACGATTTTAGGTTCAAAATTTAAAAATATGCACTTTATTAACTAATTAATTACTATTTATTATTTTCTAAAATATAAATAAAATTTTTTAGAGCAAATCAATTCAATTTAGAGCAGGAATTCAATTGTTCTTAAAAATTTTAATAAATTTCTTCGACAGAATTCAATTATTTTCACAGATAATAAACTTCTTCGACAGAATTTAAATATTTTCGCAGTTAATAAAATTCTTCGTCAGAATTCAATTATTTTCAAAATTTTTAATAAATTCTTCGGCAGAATTCAATTAGTTTCCAAATTTTTCGTAAGAATTCAATTATTTTCATAAATAATCAAATCTTTCAGAGTAGTTCAATTATTTACAAATTACAATACAATTTCAATAAATGTTATAGATGGAATTTAATTATTTTTAAATATTTCCTTAAAAACCTTCATATTTTTAAATTATTGATAAAATTATTTAGTTGAATTTAATTATTCTCATAAATAATCAAATTCTTCGCAGAAGTTTAATTATTCTTTAAAATTTTAATGAACTTCTTCGAAATAATTCAATTATTCTCACAATTAATAAAATTCTTCGAAAGAATTCAATTCTTTTCAAATTAATAAAATTCTTCGACAGAATTCAATTTTTTTCATAAATAATAAAATTCTTCGAAAGAATTCAATTATTTTTAAAATTTTTAATTAAATTTCGCAAGAATTCAATTATTTTCATAAATAATCAAATTTTTCAGAAAAATTCAATTTACATTTCCTACGTAATAATAATTATTATTTTCATAAATAATTAAATTCTTCGCAGAAATTCAATTATTCTTAAAAATTTTATTGAAGTTCATCGAAATAATTCAATTATTCTCACAATTAATAACATTCTTTGAAAGAATTCAATTATTTCCACAATTTTTAATAAATTCTTCGGCAGAATTCAATTAATTTCAAAAAATTTTGTAAAATTTTTCGCAAGAATTCAATTATTTTTATAAATAATTAAATCTTTCAGAGAAGTTCAATTATTTACAATACAATTTCAATAAATTTTATAGACGGAATTTAATTATTTTTAAATATTTTTTTAAATTCCTTAAAAACCTTAATAATTTTAAAATATTGATAAAATTATTTAGTTGAATTTTATTATTCTCATAAATAATCAAATTTCTTCGCAGAAATTCAATTATTCTTAAAAATTTTAATGAAGTTCTTCGAAATAATTCAATTATTCTCACAATTAATAAAATACTTGACAAGAATTCAATTTGAATGAAAAATTTTGATAAATTGTTTATAATAATTTAACTGTTTTTAAAAATAATTAAATTTTTTGTAGGAATTCAATTATTTTGAAAAATTTTAATAAAATCCTTCTATATAAGTAATTTAATTATTGTCACAATAAAATTCTACGTATTTTAAAAATCAATAAAATTCTCTGCATGAATTTAATTATTTAAAAAAATTTTAATAAAATTTTCCGCATGAAGATTAAATTAATTATTTTTAAAAATTGTAATAACATTCTTCGACAGAATTCAATTTCCGTATAATTTTTATTAAATTTTTTGAAAGAATTTTATTATTTAAAGGTTTTCAATAAAATTTTTTGAAACAATTCAATTATTATAAAAAATATTAGTTAAATTCAATGCAAGAATTAAATTATTTTAAATTCAAAAATAAAATGTTAAAAAAATTTGCTATTTTTTGAAATTATGGAAATTATGCTAAATAAAAAGATTTGATAAACTAAAGAATCTGTTGTTAAAATATTCGATGAAACAGAAATTTTGTTTAATGAAAAATTAGTTAATTAAATATTTTTTTAAAATAAAAATTCGGCTGAATAGAAATTGAACTGAAATTATTTGGAAACGCTATACAAAAATTCTATCTTATTTTCATTTCATTCATTAATTTGATAATTTTTAATTTTTTTATATTATATTCAAAATCTGACAAATTTCTTTAAAACTCAATTTTTATTTTTCAGAATCTCCTGGGCACTGAGGGAACAAATCTCCAATGGCGAATAGTAGCCAGTCATCTTATCACTCGACTCTCACGTGAATCCCTGCCAGATAAATTGGAACTTAGTGCTACCATGAGTACCATCAGCAACACGCATATCCTCAACGAGCTTTTCGTTGTTCTTGGATATTTTGCTGTCAATAATCCAGAAAATCAGGTAACTCTCTATTTCTTTTTCTTTCAAGAATATTTCAAACTCTTATTCATATCCAGAACAATTGAAAGAGGCAATTAATTTTTTTTTCAAAAAAAAGTATTTAAAAAATTAAAATCCTTATTTAAAGATTGTTTGAAAATATTTTTTTGAAAAATAAATTGTTTCCCTTTTGGATTGTGTGAGTCACGATGAGTTTATAAGTGCATACTCTAATCTCAAACGAGTCCTGGCGTTCCGACGATATTCCAACATTGCTGGAATATTTCAAGTCGTCCCCACTGCATCGGCGTTTTCAGTCTATAGAAAAGTGCCGCCTTGATAAAAATATTCTTTATAATTTGCTTTCTTTTTTCTCCCGCTAACATATGGAGAAGACGTTGGTCATATGAAAATTCCTTTTTCATAAACTGCCAAAATTAATTTTTTTTAAAGGAAATTTTTCTTTTTTTAATTTTTGGGACTAGATTTTATCTATATTTACAATCATCAAGATCAGTTTTTAAATTATTTCTAATACAATTTTAATAACATTTTTCAATAGAATTCAATTATTTAAAAAAAATTAAATAAAATTCTTCAAAAAAATCCAAATATTTTCAATTTTGTTTTAAAAAAACAAAATTTTAATTAACTTTCTGCAAAGAATTCTTTATAAGAATTCAATTATTTTCAAAACAATTTCAATTATATTTCTCGAAAGAATTTAAGTATTTAACAAAAATTTAATGCCATTCAACAATTTATTTTTATAAAGAATAAAATTCTTCCATTTTGTTTAAAAAAACATCAGTTTAATAAAATTTTTCGTCAGAATTCAATTAATTTTTTGAATAATAAAATTCTTCTCAAGAATTTAATTACTTTTAATAAAATTTTAATTAAATATCTTGAAATAATTCAATTATTTTTAAAAATAATAAAATTTTTCACAAGAATTCAATTATTTACATACATAAGATAATTCTTCGCAGAAATTCAATTACTTTAAAAAAAATTTTAATAAAATTCTTGGAAGGAGTTAAATTATTTTCAATGCAATTTTAAATAAATTCCTCAACAGACTTTAGTTATTTTCAAAAATTTTAATAAAATTCTTGGCAAAAATTCAATTGTGTTCAAAAATTTTTTAAAAACTCTCGTCAAAATTTCAATTATCTTTATAAATAATAAAATTCTTCTCTAATATTCAATTACTTATATGAATAATAAAATTCTTCACAGAAATTCAGTTATTTTTATAAACTTGAATGAAATTCGTTGGAAGAATTAAATTATTTTCAAAAGTAATAAAATTCTTCGTAAAAATTCAATTATGTTCAAAAGTTAAAAAAAATTCTTGTCAAAATTTCAAGTATCTCTATAAATAATAAAATTTTTCTCTGAAATTCAATTATTTTAGAAAAATTATAAAAAAAATTCTTGGGAAAATTTGTATTATTTTCATAAATAATAAAACTCATCGCAGGATTTTTATTATTCTTGATACAATATTTTAATCGAATTCCTCGAAAAATTTAATTATTCTTAAAAAAATTTTATTAAAAGTTGTCAAAAGAATTTGATCGATTTATTATTTATAAAAATAATTGAATTCTTGCAACGAATTTTATTATATTTTTTTTAAATAATTGAATTTTTTTGAGGAATTTTACTACTTGTAAAAATACTTGAAATTCTAGCGAAGGATTTTATTTGGGTTTTTGTAAATAATTAACTTTATTTTGAAAAATTTTATGGTAATTCAAAGTTTTTGAATTCAATTGGAATTTTCAACATTTTTTAAGTTGAAATCTTCTAAATTATACTGAAATTAATTTAATTCCTCTAAAGAATTTTATCAAAATTCTTGAAAATAATTGAATTCTTTCAAGAAATTTAAAAAAAAAATTTTAATTATTGAATTCTGTAATAATAAAAATTATTAAAATTACATTGAAAATCATTCAATTCAATCAATTTTTAAAAATAATTAAATTCATGAGAAGAATTTTATTGGTTGTGAAAATAATTAAATTCTGTGAAAGAATGTTATTAATTTTTTTTTAAATAATTGAATTTATGGAAAGAATTCTATTAACTGTAAAAATAATTGAATTTCTAAAAATAATTTTGTTAATATTTTTGAAAATAATTGAATTCTTTTGAAAAATTTTATTAACTGTAAAAATAATTGAATTCGGTCGATGAATATTATTTTTCAATACAATTTTAATTCATTTCCTCGACAGATTTGAATTATTTTCAAAATTATTAATAAAATTCTTTGCAGAAATGCAATTTTTTTCTAAAATTTTTACACCGAAATTCGACTACTTTCAAATATTATAATTACTTGGAAACAACTTTAATTTCAAACTGCGAACAAACATCCGGAATACAACGATTATTAATAAAGAAGATTTTGTATTTTTTATAGCATCAGTAATTTTTTTTCTGTTTTTGCTTTGTTTTGCAAACAAAAGAGATAAATAAGTGAAAGTCTTCTTCTTGTTTTGAATAGAAACCGTAAATGTTTATCAATTAACGTCTCTTACGATTCAACCGGGAATTGACTCTTTTTTTCTTCAAACTCAAAAAAAAAGAAAACGCTTGAAAAAAATAAAATGACAAACGTTTATTTGACTGTGTTGCCCTTTACAAGTTTGCCCCCTTTCTCTCGACTGGTTAGAAAGTCAAGAAAAACAGTGCACACTGCCTTTGTTTATTCTCGCGAAAAATCTCGTCTATATGCAAAGCTGCTCCATCGAACTGTTCGCGTTTGACAGAGAGCTTGCGTTTTAACATAAGTAGACAGTCAACCAAAAGGGTCTTATTATTAACAAAAACAATTCTTACTATATTTACTTTTTATTTCATTCAATTTCGTAAATTTTCTACATTTTTCCTCAAAAAAAAATTCATTTTTGACGAGAATGTTGAAAAAAAATTATCATCACTCAATAAAGAATTTCTCAAATTATCTCTAAATAGAAAAGGAATCAATAATATTTCAAGTATGAAATACCGGTTAATTAAGATACCCTGTTAATTATTGAAACTTTTCCTTATTACCTATAAGAGTTGAGTAATTAAAATTGACGATAATAAAATATGTATGATCAATAATAATAACTGAATTTCAATTTGTTAAAGTATTTAATGAAAATTCGAAAATAATTTGTCTCCTCAATTTTTTTTTTTTTGCGAGTACTTTTTTTTCTTAATGGAACTGTCGTTCAGAAAAGCTATTTCAGGAATGAAGAAGGCAAATTGTCGAAACCATGACAAGAGATGATCGACACTGGATTGCCAAGGCTAACCACAAACTTGTTTCGCTTCTCGCGCCGCCGTATAACCCGCCTCATGCATCCCAGTATTTTAATCTCAAACTTTATTCATAAATGGTCGTGTCTTTACCGCATGAAAATGTGAGTTGAAACGTTATCGCGATAACTTTTTGAAATACAACCCGAATCCGAAAGAAAGAGAGAGACAGGGGGCAATTTTTAGCGTTTAGAGATGTTGAAAAATACCTTTTTGCTCACGATTATCAATAATAAAATATCAAGCCTCGTATATTTCACTCTTTTATCAACGATAATTACCGTAATTCTGAGAAATCGCTCTTCATACCCTCGATAAATGACGATATCAATTTTTTATGACTTACGATTTTAATGACACTGGTTATATTTGCAAAATAAAAAAAAAAATGAAAATTGTTTTCCTAGAAATATACTGTTATTGAGGTGAATGAATGAGAACGAAAAACGAAAATAACTCTCCATCAAGCCATTATATCATTGTGGATTCAATAAGTGTCCGTCAAATTAAAGAAATCCAGACAGTAATGAATTTTTTAAAGTCGCATGGAAAATAGAATCATCTAGAGAGTAGACACTGAAAAAGTTATTTATCGAATTGGAGTTTGAATTTATCGAAATGGGGAAAAAATAATTAATACGGGTTTCGCACACAATTAAGGAGTGTCAAAAATCAAAAAAATTTGAATACGTATTTCCCTGATTTTCAAAAAGAAAATTAATATTTTCCCTTTTTCTGATAATTTCAATTACAGATTTTTGGAAAACTTAATTATATTCCTTTGTTTAAAATTCTTTAAAAAATATACGATATAAAATTTATTTCAATATTTGCCAAAATTTACAATTGTTTGAAAAGTTTGCAAATAATTATACTTTTGAGAATTCAATTTTCTTCAGAATATTTTAAATTACAATTTTAGAAAAACATAATTTTTACTGAATTTCTAAATTAAATTCAGAAAAACTTAAATAATTTTTGTTAAATTTCTTTTCTAAAAATTACAATTGCAATTCTTTTAAAATTCAATTATTTTTTAATAATTTTTCAATAAAATTATTCAAAATTTTAATAATTTTCTAGAAAAATATTAAATTAAAAATTTTTAAAAATAAAAATTTCAATATTATTATAATTTTTCAGTAATTAAAATATTCAAAGATTATAATTTAAAAATCTTTCAAAATTTAATTATTTAAAAAAAATTCTACTTTCACGCTTCTATTATTCAATTATTTTTCTAAATTTTAACACAAATTATTTTTTAAATCAATTTTTATCAGAAAGTTCTAAAATAATTTAATTATTTTTAAAACTTGTAATAAAATTCTACGCATGAATTTAATTATTTTTAAAAATTGCAATAAAATTCTTCGACAGAATTTAATTATTTTCACAGTTAATAAAATTCTTCGAAAGTATTTAATTATTTTCACAATTAATTTTTATGAATTATTATGAAATAGTTGAATTCTTTCGAAGAATATTGTAAAAATAATTAAATTCTGTCAAAGAATTTTATTAATTGAGACTCCGGATCTTAAAAGGGCACTTTCACCATGTAAAGTCTATGCGGAAAGTGCCCTTTTAAGATCCAGAGCCTCAATTATGAAAATAATTGAATATTTTTAGAATTTTAATTTAATTTAATTTTAGGATTTTATTACAACCATTACAACTTTTAAAAATAATTAAAT